GAAGAATAAACATCTTTCCCCACCGGGGACCGGAAAGGAGGTGAGAAGACAGCCACATTAGTGGTTTAAAATGCTCTTTCTTATGAGAGCTTTCAGGAAAAACAGTGTTGGTTTATACCAGTTAACACTGGGTTTCCAGAGATTATGCAGTTTTGTTTCAGTGCAGCCTTTCCCTAACAGCTCAAAGCTTGACTCTGCCCCAGAACCATTTTCTAGCCTGATGTGACTCCCCAGTTGAGTTCTGCAGAGAAGAGGCTCTCAAAGCAGGTTTTTAATCTTTCATATGTGTTTAGAATTTTTGTGTTAACGTGTCTAGAGACCCTCATGTACCAGAGTCTTCGAATATTCTTTCTAGTTAGTTGGCTTGAAAAATATAACTGGCTATTAGAATATGAATGTGATATCCTATAAAATCATAAAATATAATTACAGTTTTCCTTTGTTATGTAATTGTAGTGATTTATTTTTTAGAATAAGGCTGCATGGTTATAAGGCATATGCTTATACATGATTGACCAGAGAGTACCCACCTGACTTTGCCTCCACTGAACCCAAATACATCTTCAGAATCCTCCTCAACACATTTTCTTATATGGGTAGGAGTGTGGACTCTGGAGTTAGAGCTGGGTTTGAATACACACTACTGTAGTTACTAGAGATAAGGCCTTGCTTGGTCAAGGCACTAATCTCTAAGCCTCAGTGTTAGTAAACAGAAGTAATAATAGTACTTCCCTCACAGAGCCCTAATGAGCTTAAATGAGAAAATGCATACACGTATATTCCTTAGCACAGGGCCTGGCACAAAAAGCCTCATAATATTAGCTATTCTTCTCTCTATTATCAAAAGCTATTAAGAATGGGCAAAGGATGGAATTATTTGAGTGCCACCCCTCCCCCATGGTGTTCAGATCATATCTGGGCAGAGTCTTTATTTGTTAGGTTTTTTTTTTTTAATTTTTTTTTCAACGTTTATTTATTTTTAGGACAGAGAGAGACAGAGCATGAACGGGGGAGGGGCAGAGAGAGAGGGAGACACAGAATCGGAAACAGGCTCCAGGCTCCGAGCCATCAGCCCAGAGCCCGACGCGGGGCTCGAACTCACGGACCGTGAGATCGTGACCTGGTTGAAGTCGGACGCTTAACCGACTGCGCCACCCAGGCGCCCCTTTATTTGTTAGGTTTCAAAGTTGCTTAACTAACCAGGTTCTATCCCTTTTGGCATGACAACACATTTTAGTGGACACCCCGTTACCTACCCAATTGGGGTACAGCTGTTTGACTCTAAGCCCAGTTTTCCCCGCAGCCTCTCATCTCCTTCAAGCCATCCTGCTCAAATGGTGGTTCAGACTTAGGGGAAGCTGCTGCTACTGTTGTTTGTCACATCCTCTCAATCCTTAGAGGGCTCAGACTAGAACTGAGTCTCCTACAACTTACCCCCTGCTCCTGTCTCTCACTAGAGTTTAAAGATATTGAATGCAAAAATTGCTCTTCTATTCAACTTCCCAAGCATATCTTAAACCCATCCATTTCTCTCCATATGCATGCTGCTACTTTTCTAATTCAACACATCATTATCTCTTGCCTGAATTTCTGAAATAGCCTCCTACATGGGCTTTCTCCTTCCATTTTTGCCTCCTTCCCATCCCATCTCCATGTTGGCCAGTTTGATATTTTAAAACTGCAATGCTGACCATGATCCCTGCTTAAAATTCTTCTTCCTAGGTTCTTATAATAAAATATAAAATCAAGAGCCAGGCCTACATGGCCTTTATAAATTTGGCTCAGCTTATTTCCCCATCCCCATCTCCTACACTTCTCTTCCTCTCTGTCTACATCACAGCTAGACTGACATCTTTCAGATCCTCAATGAGCCAACCTCTTTCCTTTCCCAGGGCCTTTGCACATTCCATTCCTTTTGCCTGAATGATATTCCCCCAACTTCTAATCTGCTCGACTCTGGTTTTCCTGATAGGTTTCAGTTCAGGGGTTCCTTCTTCAGAGAGTCTTTATTCATTCCCACTCCTTAATATGAGTTCTATTCCCACCTGATATTTTTGCCAGACTATTTGTATTTTTTCTCCATAGAGCTTAGCACAATTTGTAATTCTACACATAACTTTTTAGTATTTCTCTCCCCTTCTATATTGTGTGATGTTTGTGTGTTTAGTCTCCCAGCCCAAGAAAAAAATCTTATTTATTTATTTATTTATTTATTTATTTATTTATTTATGAGAGAGAGAGAGAGAGAGCGAGAGCATGTGTGGGGGGGGGGAGAGGTAGAAGGAGAGAGAGAGAGAGAGAGAGAGAGAGAGAGAGAGAGAGAGAGAGAGAGAATCTTAAACAGGCTCATGCTCAGCATGGAGCCTGAGGTGGGGCTTGATCCCACAACCCTAGGGTCATGACCTGAGCCAAAATCAGGAGTCAGACACTCAATTGACTGAGCCACTCAGGGGCCCCCAGCTCAGTAAATCTTTTTTTTTTTTCCTAGCTCAGTAAATCTTAAGCAGGTTCTGGTTAGCCTTACAAATGTAAAAGTAGGACCTTTCCCTCCCTTACTGGCATACTGCCATGGTAGATTATAAGGGCCTCACCCTCCTTTGGGGGTGGATGCTTACTTTATCCTGGTATTTTGCAATGGGGTGCCTGTCCTCATGGAGTGAGCTGGACAAGGAGTGAACTAAGTCCAGGGAGAAGAATGTATTGCTTGAGCTGGGAAGCTGCTTGAAATATTAGAAGAGTAGACAAAGCTTTCTGCAACCAACTGCAACATTTTTGTGACTCAGTGCAGTAAAAATTAACTTCTGCTCACACAAGAACCTAGTGCGGATGTTTCTGATCAGAGTGGCTCTCTTCCAAACAGGGACCCAAGGGCCCAGGCTCCTTTTATCTTTTGACTCTGCCATTTCCTAAGGCCTTGGAGTCCATCATTTATATTTGACAGAACAGGAGAGAGGGATCATGGAGGGTTGCATTGGAAATATTTATGAACAGGATAGGAAGTGGTATATATCGCTTCCCCCCCACATCCTTTTGGCCAGAACTCACTGGTTTGTGATATGGTTTCATCTAACTGCAAGGGAGGCTGGGAAATAGAGCCTAACTATATGCCCAAGAAGAAAAGGCAAGCATGGAGTTTGGATGGCTGGAGAAAGGATGGCTGATATGGGCCCAGGTGTGGGTGATAGGTGGTGTTGGCAAATGCATCCTTGACTACCATCTGGTTCCTGGGTGCCCACAAATTCTCCTCACTGTGGCCCTTGACTGACATAGTTCTCATCCATGACCCTTCAGATCTGATTGTCCTTCCTATCCCCACTGGCCTCTATGTAAATTCCCTTGCTTTCCATGTTTCTTTCTCCTTTCAGCCCAGAGAAATCTTTTGTCACTTAGTGGGGTATCTGTGGGAGGTGAAGCTCATGCTAACATATACTCTATGCCTAGTATCACTTTTATTCCTGTAAGTACAGGAAGTCTCTCCTTTTTTCTCTCCCTGTTCCCACTTCAGTAGCTAGGCTCTGATTATTGTCTCAGGGAAGAGATGTAATAAGTAGAAGACAGAGAAAAAAGTAACTATTGAGAGAAAATAACATTGGTTAGTATTTCAAAAACATTGTCCTACAACATATATAAGTTCAATGAAGGTAGACACTGTGTCTGTATATATACCACAATATCTCCAGAATCTAGCAAAGGGACTCAATAAATATTTACTGGATAAACAAATGCACGAATAAGTACCTGAATGTTGTAAGAAGCAGCGTTCCTCACAGATAAACTCCTACATCTTGATTCTTCCATACCTTTCCAGGCTTCTCAAAAGGGAGTGAGTGGTGCTTTTTGGCCCCCACAGGGAGACCAGAGAGAAAGCTGTAGTGACAGTGCTGTGCACTCTGCAAGTTTGACATACTGTCTTATACTTTTATACACACACACACACACACACACACACACACACACACACACACATATTCCCATATATACTTAGAATGAAAAATAATAATAAATAAAAGTAATACAAGAAAACAGGACAGGAAACAATAATAAAGGGAAGAGGAATAAAAACACCCAGTGCCTGACACATAGGAACCCTATAAATGTTTATTGAATGAGAGAAAAGAAGAAATGCCCAGCTTTCCCCATTCAGGTACTGAAATGGGCAGTTTATGGACATGCATTGAATTCCAATATTCTTTCCTTACAAATTTACTGAAGAGAGCTATGCTTGCAGTCTGGTCATAATGTCACTCTTGTTCCTTAGTAACAGACCAGGTTTGTTTTTATAGCTGATCTGACTCAAGGACTGTGTGAATGCTATCAAATGCTAGAGGAGAGCTAACTCTCATGGCAGGGGACAGCAGGACCAGGAGGAAATGAGATGGTTCCCATCCAACACTGATAAGGAAAGTGATGTGGTTTGAGATGGATTCTTTATCACGGGTTCCTCTGCTGATGTTTTTGAAGAGGGAAGAATTCAATGAAAACCTTTTTTCCTTTTTTTTTTTGAAACTTCTCATTAACATTTGTGGCAAACACTATAGGTTGGCAATACCAGCTCTCCTATCAAACCCCTTCTTTCTGGCCTATTATATGAGCTGGAAAAAAAACACACCATTCCCAAACTCCGTTGCAGCCAAAGAGGCTATCTGATATAATTCTGGATCATGGGACATAAGTGACCCCCCTTCTCTCCCCTCTTTTCTACTTTGAATGGACAAGATGGCAGCAGCTGTAGTTACCATTTGTGACTATGAGGGAGAGGTCAACAGATGTTGGCCTTCACATTACTGAGCCACTGAACCAATGCCAGCAGACACCTGTCTTTAGACTTTCTCTGTTGTGGGGAAAAATGAATTCCTCTTTGTCCAAAGTCCTGAAATGAAGGATTCTGTCACTTGCAGCCCAAAGTGTGTTACTGACAGCTCCTCTTTCTTTTCTTTTCTTTTCTTTTCCAGATAGAAGTAAATAAACAAGCTCTATTTAATAAATATGAAAAAAATTCCACAAAATATTAAAATAAGATTTTAAAATACGGAATTGCAGGACAGGTGAAACAATTAGGAAAAGAACAAAGTTGGAGGACTCACACTGCCTGATATTAAGAGTTACTCTGAAAGGTAAGAATTTATAAAGTTTTTATAAATCAAGACAGTGTGTTATTGGCAAAAGGATAGACACATAGATCAATGGAACACAATACAGCATCCAAAAAAGATGGACTTGCAAAATATTCATCACTTCAGAGCATTTCCTAACAGAGACAACATTCAACAATTCCTATTACCTCTTCTACTTAGAGTTTCAAGTCAGCTCAATTCCGGTTACTTAGCCTAAGACAAATTGTAATCATAATAAATATGTTTAAGACTAAATTCTACATTAGCCTTTCCTTGACTAGGATACACTTCTCCAATCAGGTCTTCTTGATATTCCCCTCTGATCTCCCTGAAGTCTTAGGAAAATTCCTTTGGCCTTCATGTAAGCCAGTCCAGGCGCTGTCCATATACCACCTCTAGTCTGGAACAGGTGCAAGGATTGTTCTTTCTGGTGTTCATGCTTTCCTTTTCCTGCCTTTACTAATTTTCTTTTCCAGACACATCATCCATCTATCTCCCTCCTTCAGTTGTCCTTTGGTTCCACAATTTCCTTCCTTCTTATTTATTTCTGGACATTAAGGTGAATATCTTCTCAAGAAAGCCTTCCTGTCTACTTCTCCACCCTGCATCATTTCACCCAGTTTTTCAATTCTCTTCAAAGCTTTATCAGCCTCTAGCTATCTTGTTCATTAGTTTATTTGCTTTATTACTTTCCATTGGCGGTATTTCTATACATTATAATAAAGTAGCAGAAAGACAAATTAAGAAAATAATCCCATTTACAATTGTACCAAATAGAGTAAAATACCTAGGAATATACTAAACCAAAGAGGTGAAATATCTATTCTCTGAAAACTATAAAACACTGATGAAAGAAATTGAAGATGACACAAACAAATGGAAAGATATTTCATACTCATGGACTGGAAGAATTAATATTGTTAAAATATCCTTATTATCCAAAGGAATCTAAAGATTCAATGCAATCTCTATCAAAACAGCAACAGGATTTTTCACAACACTAGAAAAAATACTAAAATTTGTATGGAATCATAAAAGACCCCTGATAGCCAAAACAATCTTGAGAAAGAGAAAAAAAAGCTGGAGATATCACAATTCCAGATTTCAAGATATAGTACAAAGCTGTAGTAATCAAAACAGTATGGTACTGGCACAAAAATAGACACATAGATCAATACAACAGAATAGAGAGCCCAGAAATAAACCCAGGCTTACGTGGCCAATTAATCTATGAGGAATGAGGCAAGAATATGCAATGATGCAATGAGGAAAATAAATGGTGCTGGGAAAACTGGAGAGCTGCATGCGAAAGAATAAAACTGAACCACTTTCTTACACCATACATAAAAATAAACTCAAAGGGATTAAAGACCTAAATGTGAGACCCCAAAGCATAAAAATCCCAGAAGAGAACACAGGTAGTAATGTCTCTAACATCAGCCATAGCAACATTTTTCTAGATATGTCTCCTAAGTCAAGGGAAACAAAAGCAAAAATAAACTATTGGGATGACATCAAACTAAAAACCTTCTGCACAGCGAAGGAAACCATCAATAAAACAAAAAGGCAACCTACTAAATGAGAGAAGATATTTACAAATGATATTAATTTCCATCTCTCTTTATCTAAAGCTCCATTAAAGCAAGGACTTTATCTGCTAAAAGATGACATTTGTCTTTGGTTTATAATAAATGAGTTAACCTGAGGGGAAAGTCTGTAAGTACAGTGTTCTTGTTTCCTTAGAATAGTCCAGGTTATTTCCATGTCTTATTTACAGCGTTCTCTTTCATTCTCAAATGTGTGCCTGATAGATGGTGAGAATACTTTTCTCTAAGTTTCATTTCTTTGGTGGTAAGCACTAAGAATTCTAACTTTATGTGATCAGTTTATATTAGCGGACATGGCTGTCATTTAGTTTATTTACTCCACCTCGATTCCCTGCTTTAAATCAAGTCTGTATTAAGGCTGAGGGATTCACTATATCAGAGAGGTATGTTTATAAAGAACACTGATCAATTCAAAGGGGTACATGCACCCTTATGTTTATAGCAGAATTATCAGTAATAACTTTATTACTATTTTTTATTTCACTTTTAGTTAGCATACAGTGCAATATTGGTTTCGGGAGTAGAATTCAGTGACTCATCATTTACATACAACATCCAGTGCTTATCACAAGTGCCCTCCTTAGTAGCCATCACCCATCTAGCCCATCCCCCACATACCTCCCTCCATCAACCCTCAGTTTGTTTTCTATTGTTAAGAGTCTCTTGTGGTTTGTTTCCCTCTCTTCTTCCCCCCCCCCGCCCCATAAGTTCATCTGTTTTGTTTCTTAGATTCCACATATGAGTGAAATCATTTGATATTTGTCTTTCTCTAATTAACTTATTTCACTTAGCTTAATACATTCTAGCTTCATCCATGTCATTGCAAATGGCAATATTTCATTCTTTTTGATGGCTGAATAACATTTCATCGTATATATACATCTTCTTTATCCATTCATCAATCGATGGACATTTGGGCTCTCATAAGTTTGACTATTGTTGATAACGCTGCTATAAACATCAGGGTGCATTTACCCCTTTGAACTGATCAGTGCTGTTTATAACCATACCTCTCTGATACAGTGAATACCTCAGCCTCAATACAGATTTAATTTAAAGCAGGGAATAGAGGTGGGGTAAACAAACTATAAACGACAGCTATGTCAGCTAATATAAAATTATTTCTTTACTACAAAGATATATTTGACCACTTTTAGTAAATTTAGAACATTCAGCATATGCAAGGCTGATAATTTATTTAACTGATCCCTTATTAATGAGCATTTCAATTTTTTTCCAATTTTTTCTTTATTAACAGCGTTGTGACATTGAACATTCTTATGTATTTAGCTTTGTATACATGTGCAAAATTTCATCAGGATAAATTTCTACATGTAAAATTGCTGGTTCAAACAGTCTGCAAATTTACAATGCTGATAGTTATTGTCTAGGGCCATTTTAAATAGGAAATTAATATAACAATCACTTCCCTAAAGTAAGCTTGTATTTCAGTTGCAATTTCAGAGTAACACACTTGTATTTTACACACATACAAATCTTCTCTCTCTAATGAAAAATTTTTAGATATCCAAACTATATAATTATGTTTTGCTTTCCCAGCTTTCAATTTAATGATTTCTAATGAATGCAATGGAGTGAATTCATGTATTATTAGCAGCGATATGCCTTCTTTGTTAATTTTAGGCTATTTAATGGTCACAGATGGATCTCTAGTTTACACATCTCTCCTTTTTGTAGATAAGAGTCCCAGTGTCTACAAACTTAAGGATATAGTTAGTTGTACACAAAACTCTGAATTAAAGTCAGTCTTTGGGTTTTGTTTTGAATCACAGCATACTGGAGCCACGAGGGATCTTATAGATCTGTAATTGGCATGGCCTAATTTATAGTTTGGGATGTAGATAAGGCACCACTCAGGTGGGCTCCCAAAGTTGAACATGTGAACCCTCATATGGCCAGTGAACAGGAAATACCATGTCCTTCCCATATGCCAGAGCCATCATGATCACTTCCACTTCTGCTTCTGGAGTCTCAGTAGAGATGTCCCCTCAAGGCCAGGGGTCTCCACTACCCCCACGAAAGACTGGTGGCTCCCAAGGAACCGCTAGTGCAGACTTTTGCTTGGATCACTGCTCTTCCTTCAGAGGCCAGAGAGAAGATTCCCAGACCTCAGGAGTAAGTTCCACCTGGGGCGGACTCTAGGCAAACCTGGTCTGGATGCCCATTCCTATAGTTCCTCATGTTCCCTCACACAGCCACTTGTCCAGTACTCAAGACTGCTACCTGATTCCTGGGATGGGTCCAGTCCTTGTGGGTACTGATTTCAGCCTCCTTTTTGAATTCCTAAGTCTGTGCAGAGGCTGGGCTGGCAGTCCTACTTTTTTCTCCTTGATGGTGAGTTTATCTGATGGGTCTTGTGGTCATTCTCTGACTTTGAGCCTTGCTCAGGGCAACCTCCAGTCCACTCCAACTAGTTTTAATTTCTGAAACAAAGTGTTGGGGTCCTGATGCCTTCCCACCCTCATCCTCAAGAGTATCTTGGGCTCCAACTGTAATCTTCAGGCTGCAGATCTCAATACTTTCTCTTTCCCTCACACGCAGATATTAAATTCTATTTTATCCATCCATCCCACTGGAGATCATGTAAGTGCAGCCCTCTCATGTTAAAAATGAGGAAACTGAGGCACAGGGGAGTAACTTACCTGGGTCATACACCTGGTCACTATAGACCAGAGATAAGGACCTTGCTTTCTAAATCATAACTCAGGGCTCTGTTATTTCCTTTGAGATGTTTCTCTTTTGTGGTTTTTCTCTGGTGAGTTTTGAAATCCTAAGCCATTTACTCTCTAGCATTCTTGGCCACATTCCACACCACCCAGCTGAAATATACTTAGACATGCTGCATACCTTTTTATTTACCTAGTAGTGATTTCCAGAGTCAAAACCAAAACGGTCATTAAAATCAGCTGCTCTTTCAGAAAACCCTCATTATTATTCCCCTTCATTAGGGTAGAATAATCAAGGGCTAGTGCAGAGCACATTCATTGCCCCAGAATGTGCTTTGCTGCTTCTCTGCGATCCAGTGGCTCTAGAAAATACTTACACTGCAGCCCAGCCTTTGGCACATGTTTCCTTTCATCATCTCTGGACTCTTCATTATGTCAACCTTTTGGGGTGTTTTCAGTTCTGTCTCATCCTAAACAAACATTTGTCACTTGATGGACAGCTTAGGGAAGCAACTGGAAAGCAATTAGAAAGGTAAGAAATCATTCTGACAAGCAATCTCAATCCACCAAGTCATGGTTCGTATCTTCTGGTGTTGGAATCCTCATCTACAGCCTGGAATTCCAGACACAGTCTCATTCCTCAGGCTGATGGCTAGCTTTGGGTGGGGGTGTAGAGTTTGAGAGTGTCCAGGTCATGGGGGGGGGG